CCCCCCCCCCCCCCAAAATTTAAAATCAGCCTTCACATATGTGTATCCAGGTCTCATCTATGGTTGCGTTCAAGTTTTGGCTCCAAAATCGGAAAGTAGGTAAATTAGGAAACTTAAATTTTAGAAGAATGTTCCCTGTTCACGTGTGATGTCGCAAATTTAAATTCAGTATTCGTGTACGCCTGGTTTCACGTGTGGTGACGTGGAGGTTTTAGAGCTACGAAAGCTAGGAAGCTAGAATTAAGTAGGACATCATGTGCCTATATGGGACAAAAAATTTTAGATTCAGCTTCCACATGTGCCTTCGTTTTACTTAAGAACAGATGCACTTTTCCTTAAGGCAGAATGCCGAAAGTTCAACAGGATGTTTCCCATCATTGTGCAACTTCGCTTAGAACTAGCGTACGTAAAAATGCGTTTACTTGAAAAAAATATTTTGGTCGGAAAAAACGTTCCGACGGTTCTGTACATAACGAATATTTTTAAAAGCAAACATTTGCTGGAATTGCATAAAACGCATGATCGCATCAGCTATCCTGGTGCGCGTCGATACTTATTTTTTCAGTTGTACGTAGGATGTCTAAACTGTCAGCCGCTAACATCAGTCTGTGCGGTTGCAATGGGCGCAACTCTCTGAATTGCTAGCGGGATTTTTGCAGGGTGTCGTGCCCAGTATTGATACTCCATGCCGAAGATGACCACATTATTCCGCCACATTTAGCTCGGAAATTGCGTGATTGCGCAGTACATGCCAAACGTGATGTTACTTATGTGGAATTTGATGCGCACCGACATTTTCGACATAAATACATCCATTTGGCTCCTGAACTTCCTGAAATTGTTATGTTAGTTACACTTTTTTCTGAAACACTTAAGCACGCATCATTCGTTTCCAGTTTTAGCTTCAGTTCATCAATTTCTGGTCGTTCTAACTGAAAGAACCCAGCCGATCTGTGGGAGAGGTTAGGGCTTCCTTCGTGGATTGCCAGTAGTGAATTCGCCAACTTAACCATGCTGCGGGTACAGTATGAATGGTTGCTGCTTTACAGTTTAACAAGTGGACTCGTTTGGCTGTGTTTTAGCCTTTTCTTGCGTGCGGGAAGAAAAAGGCGTCAGCTGGGGCGGTAGTGTTGCATCACGGGGCGGTGTGAAATCTTGACTTCCAGCATACAAGATTACCGTAAATTTTGTCCGATCGTTCATCGAAAATGCAAACTCGACAATTAACAGAATGTCGAAAAAGAAGAGTAGCAAAGGCCACAAAGTGCACCTGTTTTTGATGTTGCGATAAAATTGAGTGTTTGTCGTATTTTTGTGCAGGGAATATAGCTTCCTAGCTGAATTTTAAATCTTTAGCTCAAATATGGGCAGGTAACATCTTTGCAGTTTCAGATTCTTACATTTGCCGGATTCCGAAGTCGTTTCCTCCTATAATTTTGCCGTTTTTTTTCAGGCGTTCGTACTTAAGATCTGGGCGTGGTGAGTATACATAGGGTGGGAGTATCTTCCGACAACCTAGTCTCTCAGCTTTTCCGTTGCTGAGTTGAAAGTGGGTGAAAAAGTTCACTTGCCTTCGAGTGCACATATACACACGTTCCTATATA